TCAAGGAGCTCAAAAGCTATCAGAAGATATATGTTTATAATTGTAATATTTAATATTACAAATACTACAATTGTACAATTATGTAATACAAATATATAATTGTAATTGTACAAATAAATGGTACAAATCATGTTCACATTTATAATTACTTCATTTGAGCACCACAAGAGTCCTATGAGGTAGGGTATTATTACAACTATTATTATTACAATTTTATTGATTAAAAAACTGAGGCTCAGAGAGGTATGTGACTTGCTTTTGATGACACAGCAAGTGATGAAGGAGATTTTTAAGTTAGACTCACATCTTTTGACTCAGCTCTCCTGTTCTATTTTTCACCACTGTGTCTATTCAGTGTGATCAAAGTATGTGTAACGCGCTATGAGAGGTCAAGTGTAACAGAGAGAAAGGCTATTTTTATCTGGAGAGGTTAGGGAAGGCTTCACTGAGGAAAAGTCATATAAATGGGGCTGTGAAATGTGAGCAGGAATTTTCAGGTAGAGGAGGAGGCACATTACACACAGAGATCTGATGAAAAGCACAGCAAGATAAAAATGCATAGCATGCTATATGTGGTGGGGAGCAGAGGAGTTCCAAAGGGGAGGTTGGGGCCACACTGTGAAAAGTTTTCAGTGCCCTTTTGTATGCAGTTGGGATTGTACGCAGCCCCTGAATGCAGAGGATAGAAACAGTCAGATCTGGGTTTTCAACAGGAAATTAGAGTGGCAGATAGGTGGATGAATTGGATCATGAAGAAACAAGTTAGGAGCTTCTTCTGATTGTGCAAGTGAGATAAGCATCTGAATGAGGATAGTGGAAATGGAACGGACTGATCACAACACATCTGTGTGAAGTAGAATCACTTTTTTGGAGGAGTAAAGATTATTTTAAAAAATTTCTAGCTTATATGACGTCGTAGGTGAAGATTACCTCAACCAAACTGAAGAATACAGAAAAATGGTTGAGAAAGGAACTGGAGGTGGGAGATGAGGGTTTTCTCATAGCTAAGATAAAGCATTGGCTTTATCTTTCATTCATGTTTGGTTTGAGGTGCCTGTTTATAACATGAAGGTAGATATGTCAAGCAGGTAGCTAAAAATATGGGCCTAGACTTTGAAAGCGAGATTGAAGCTGGAGATTTAGATTTTGTAGTCATCAAAATATGTCGTAATAAAATTCCTACTGCAAAAGGGGCACAAGGGAACTTTTTAGGGTGATGGAAATGTTCTATTGCATGATTATGATGGCTGTTCCAAGCGTACACGTCTCAAAACAGATCATACTGTATACTTAAAATGGGTGCATTTTATCGCATCTTAAATTCCTTTAAAAAATCCACTAAAAATAGTAGAAGTGAACTGCTTTGTACAACACAGTAAGTGCTAAATAAATTGTTTTTAAAAGTTGTTAATCAATTGTTTTAGGAAAAAGAAGAGAATGGGAAATTGTCCCACATCCATCAGTTAAAAACCACTGACTGGCAGCAGGGAGAGCTGCCACCGTTTCAGTTGTTCCGGAAGTGAGTGCTGGATGTGCCAGTTTATGGGCCATTTGAGAGTCCTCCATTCACAAACTTATTCCCTCCTCAAACTACCCTCCTCCATCCTCAGCCCACCCATGGACCACCTGGGCTGACTTCCACGTTTGGAAGAGCTGAGACAATAAAGGTACTTGAAGAATATAATATGACTCATCGCTGAACAAGAAATCTTTCCCTATTGATTGATTTTAGGCTGATGGCCAATTTGGCCTCCTCGCTTGGCACCATTCCCTCAGCATCACTTCTGAATTGTCCTTTCAGTGCTCAGCTTAAAATCTACTTTGTACAAAAAACCATTTTTAATTTGATAGAAGGAGGTGAAGTCAGATACCTATATTCATCTACCAGTGTGGACACATCTACCGTGAGTATACAATCACCAAATTTGTATGTTTGCGTTGGAATCTCAGTTCTGTCATTTAGTAAGCCTTTGAGACCTTGAAGAAAATGAGGATAAAACCTACCTTGTAGGGTGGTGTGGATTAAGTCAGATAGCATATATGAAAATGCCGCATATGGCATTGAGTAGGCGCTCAATAAAAGGCAGATGTTTTGTCAAGCTTGACAATACTTTCTGAATTATTTAGTCTGCATCATAAGTTTCTTGAAAGTAAAAGCATTCTTTGCTGTGCTCTGTACTCCCACCCTAACTAATACATCCTCAGGAGCCATTGGGGAAGGATGTTCAGGAAGCTGGCAGGTCAAGGATAAAGCTGAAAAAGATTTATACAACAAATATGTAGATGAGAAGAGATCATTCTGGGGAGATGAAAAAAAAAGGAGCTCGATTCAGAGGTGGTGGCAAAGGTCTTTCTTTACATTTCCTCTTTCCATTCATTTAAAATTTTATCTTGCCAAAAAGAAGGGACAGAAGGTCTCATCTTGCTGAGTGGAGCTGCAGGACCGTGTGCCAATACACCTGGTGTTGACTCATGCCAGCTGGGAGAGGAGCTTGGCTTCTCCGTCTCTCACTACTGTGGTTTCCTGGGCTGGGCAGCTGGGTGCCTAATAATGATAAAAACCACAATAATACTTCATAATTATGTACTGCCCTTTGCCAGAACTTGGGTTTAATTACAACGACTATGACGGAACTGGCAACATCTCGCTCCCTGTTGGGGTGCAATACCCAAGGGCCTAGAAATACAAAGTGAAGTGGCAACTGCAACCTTCTCCTGCAGGGCCTCTCCTGGCAAGCCACCCAGAATGCTCTGGGTTAGAAGATCAGCATCAGAAACAAACAGTACTTTTAAATTGCCCACATGCATTGGCACTGTCAAGTAAAGTAGTGTTTATGAAGCAACTACTGCCACACGTGGGGCATGGAATCCCAGGCCTGGAAGGGACCAACACAGGTGATCTCCTTCATTCTTACACTGTTCCCTGCCATGAGACTTCACTGCCACTATGCTCTAATAGATGAGTTCACTCACTTTCCATTTGGATTTAGGCTGGAGAAGATTTTGTGGCAGCCTGATTTAGGTGTCAGGGGATTCATCAATTCATTTAACACTCATTTTGTGAGCACCTATTCTGAGCCAAGGCGCTGTGTACAAAGATGTATAAGGTATAATCCCTGCCTTCAAAGTAGCTTATCTTCTAGTTGGGGGGTTTGTATTTAGGTAGCTGTAATAAAATGATAGAGGGAAGTCCTGTTGGATAAAGGTAATGATATTCAGACTTCAAGTCAGGGCCAGCCCGGTGGCTCAGCGGTTAAGTTCACAAGTTCCACTTCTCAGTGGCCTGGGGTTTGCTGGTTTGCATCCCCGGTGTGGACATGGCACCGCTTGGCAAAAGCCATGCTGTGGGAGGCATCCCACGTACAAAGTAGAGGAAGATGGGCATGGATGTTAGCTCAGGGCCAGTCTTCCTCAGCAAAAAAAGGAGGATTGGCAGTAGTTAGCTCAGGGCTAATCTTCCTCCAAAAAAAAGAAAATGAGAAAAAAAAGGCTCCAAGTCAAAGGATCAGGGCCATCTTTTCTAAGAAGAAAGGACGGGAAGGTCTGCGTGTGTTAAGGGATGGGGGGGAGGGGGGAGGGGAGCTGGGGAACTGAGGTGCAGAGCCAGGCAACTTTGGGAGGTTCTTGTAGGTTTTTCTGTTTTTGTTTTTTGGTCTTCATACACTTATCACCCCCTGAATAATCTTATTTGTTACTTTACTCATATACTCTTGTCTCACCCCGTCCAGAAACCTCATCAATTTTGTTCAATGCTATATCCTGAGATCTCAAACAATGCCTGGCACATAATAAAGTGCTTAGTAAATATTGGCCTAACGAATAAATGGTCCAGGTGAGGCAGTGGCTGTAGAAATGGAGAGGAAAGGGCATTTAGTAATTATAATCAACACAACAAAGTTAGAAGGGGTAGGGAGGTGTTACAGCATTGAGGGAGTAGCACCAAGAATTACTCCCAGATTCCAGTTTTGGCTAAGTGAATGGATGGTGATGTTACCAACGAAGATAAGAAACAGAGGAGAAGGAGGAGGTTTTGTGGACTTCTGAGGGTATCTGAGTTCGGATTTGGATGTGTCACGATGAGGTTCTAGTGGAGATGTCCAAAAGCACTTACACAGGCAGATAGGGACCTCATTAAAGGTACACTCAGCCATCAAAGTGGTTAGATCATCAAGCGTGCAGTAGAATGACCACGTACGTACTGAGGATCAGATCCTGGGACTCAAAGAGCCAAGAGAGAACAGATTTAGAAAGCTTAACTGAAGAGAAAGACGATCTGAGGGTTTATGGTCTCAGAGAAACGGGGGTGAGGGGTGCGTTGGGGAGGAGAAAAAGCTTCAAGGATAAGTCTATAGAATCTACTTGCAACAGAGATAAAATATGATAAGAACTAAAAAGTGACCCTTGAACTCAGTCTCACGAACGTTACTGGTAACCTTAAGAGGAGCACTTTAGGTGGACTAGTGGGCAGTGTAACTTAGCCTGCAGTACTTGAAGCATGAATTGAAACAAGGATGAGAGCTAGACAGGGTCTCATAGGCAAGTTTTTCACGTTTGGAGGCGTTGGAACACGATCACGGGTATGTCCAGCACAGAAGTGGCCGGTAATTTTCTGAATGACGACAAGGTTTCCAAAAGGCCAGATGGAAAGAGTCCTGGCAGCGTCACAATGCCTCAACTATGCTTCCACCCTTTCAGCCATTTCTAGGGCGGGGGCCCTTCCATATAAAGCGCAGGCTAAAAGTGGGAGCCGAACACCCCTCCATCCGATCTGGTGAGTCTCGTGACAGCTGAGAGTGGGGACGGGCGTACTTGAATTAAACGAAGTGTCCACTTGCCCGTGGATCTTGGAATTTAGTAACGGGGAGGCTCCACGCTGGAGGGAGCTAGGGAGACTCATTCACATTTTCCGACCCGGCACTCATGCCCTCCATTCATCATTTTTCCTTTTCCCTAACACAGTTGAAACCAGGGACAAAGCTTTCTTCCTTCTCCCACCTCAGGTTGACCTCCCGCCCCCAAGCCCACCGATGGCCCTTCTCCGGCCACGTGACCGTTCGCAGCCCCCGTGACTCGCCGCCGCCGACCCCTCCCCTCGGGCCGCAGCCCGATTTGCCCCGCCCCTCAAGCCCACGTGACCGGCTCTCTCCCACCTGACTGGCTCCTCCCTTTCCCCCGGGCCGGACCGGGCCGCCGTCGCAGCTGCCCGATTCCAAAATGGCAGCCGCGCACAGCGCGCACCCGAGCGGCCGGACCTCCCTGACTCCTGGGCCGCCCCCCTCTCGCTCCCTGCCTCCCTCCTTCGGCCTTCACCTACATGCCTCCGGATTGGCCGCTAGGAATCCCGCCCCTCCAGAGCCCCGCCTGCTATTGGTCACGGTAAGCGCCCTTCAGAGAGGCGTGCCCCCGCCGCCCCCCGCCCCGGGAGGTATTTTCCATTCCGGTGGGGGTTGGGGGGAGGGGGGAGGGGAAAAGGGTGAAGAGGGGGAGGCGGCCGGGGAAGGGGGTGGGGGCCTGGCGGGGGCATCCGGCGGCGCTGGGGTCCCCGGGCTCCGTCCGGAGGAAGCGAGAGTGCGCTCGCTCGGGCAGTCGGAGGGGACAGGACGGGACGGCGGATTCGCCCTCTCGGTGACTGCGCCGTCCGGGCCGGTCCTGCCTGGCCGCAGGTGCCCCTGGATGAGGCCGCCCCGCGCGCCCCGACCGGTGAGTGTCCCCGCGGCCGGCCCGGCCCGCTCCCCGGCCCCCGCGCTGCCGGTGGCGGCCGCCTCTCCGGCCCTCGGTGCCCTCGCCCAGCGCAGTCCGCCTCCGGCCGGCGCCTCCACACCCCGGGCGGAGGCAGCGCCGGCCCTCTGGCCGGGAAGAGGGCGGCGGGCGGGGGACGGCGAGCCCGGCCGCGAGCCCCGTGCAGACGGCGCTGCGCGTAGTGGGAACTTGCGCTTAGTAGGCTCTCGGTGCATTTCTGTGCAGTTGTTTTTCTGGTGGGGGAACGGGGGGCATTTAAAGGAAAGGGGGTCGCCCCGGGCTAGTATGAGTGCGTTCGTGATGGGGGTCGTGGTGAGTCGGGGGGGAGGCTACTGGAGACTGTGGGGTTGTTGCGCGCGCTGCAGGAAAGGAGGCACCGACCGAGTCACTCGGGGCTCTGAGACTCCAATCTGGGGGTCCTCAAGGTCGACGAGAAGAGGTCCACTGGGAGATGAGAGAGGGAACTGGGGAGCTTGGATGGAAGAAGTGATTGGAGCACCTCTGGGGTTTAACCCGAGCTGGAAAGGGATGCGGAGGCGGGCGCTGGAAGACTCCTGTGCAACGGCTTGGGGTCCTAAGATTCTTCGGTGTTGGGCTTTGGGCATTCAAGTAGCTGAAGCGAAGTGACTTTCCGGAGACGGAGTAGCATTTAAAGAAGGATGCTAAGAAACAGTTTAAGTACACATCTTGGCTTGGTTCTGAACTTTGAAAGGCTGGGGGATTGGAGTCACGAGGTAATTTTTGACATTTTCTTTTGGCATTCCAACCAAAAGGTGGCTCGCTGCTGGACCTTGTGAATTCTCCTTTATTTTAAAATGTATATATGTGTTTGGTATTTTACCAGTTATTAGTTTTGCTGGAAATTCTCATAAGTGCACCTTGAAATTCTTGGGGCAGCCTTCCCATCTGCTGAAGAGCCTTTCTTCAGGTCTCTCCAGCTATAGCGGTGGCTTACTTCCCAATTTAACGTTTAGACTGGGCTATACCATTATAGTTTACCACTCACTTTTATCCTACAAGATTAATAAGTAATTCCCATGCTTGCTTTCCCTAGGTTTTAATTGTTTCTTTACAAGGTCACTGCAAAATTTAACAACAAATTCTGTAGAAGTTTTAAGATAATTTTGAAGTATTGAACCGGGAAGATGTTGCTAAGCTAGCAGCTGTAGAAAGCAGTACTAAAATCAGGTTGTTTTGGGAACAGTTGGGAATCTTAATGTCAGATGCTTAGTTTAATTTTAATAATCTTGTATTTGCATAACACTCTTGAGAATGGGTTAGGAACACTGAAAATGCATATCAGGGTTAGGCAGTGGCAGTCCACAGAACCACCTCTTGGTAGCCAGTGGAGGTTCTTCATGTCACTGAGAAGAGGAAGCTAAGAATTGCACAGCTAGATCTTGAATCTTTAATATTTTCTTAATCATATATATATTATCTTACTAATTCCTCACAATTTACAAAATGAAAGCTCTTTTTTTAGGGGGTACTGAAACATATTGAAGAAAATTTTGTACATCATATCCTGCCCTTTAATATAATTCATCAGTCAGAGAAAACATTTCTGCAAAAAGGTGTTAAAATTTTTGGTTGGCGCCTTCTTAGTTCCTGAATAACTAATGAATAATTACATTTTTTTCCTCCCTATTGTCCTTGAATTTTACTATTCGTCCTTAGGGAGAGTATACTTGGCACACAAAACAGTAGCCTAAAATATTGAAACCTAACACATTTTAACATTATAATAGCTTCTACATTATTCACCTTGAGACTCATCTATGGCAAACCATTGGTGGGGAAGGCTTTCTCCTATTCCTTTTGTTTAGAATGGGCTGTTTTCTCCTTTTGTAGATCCAAACAAAAATAGTACTTAATGTATGCAAAGTGATGGTAATAATTAAACAGAACAAGAATAGGAAGCATGGAAAAAAGATGTATGTGTATGAGTCACATTTCTTTTAGAATTGGAAGAGTCGACCATGGAGATGATTATCTTGCACATCAGGAAACCGAGGCCCAGAGTAGTGGAAGGGACTCAATTGCTAGGATTCGTGAGCAGATCTCTGCACTCTAGTCCAGGATTTTTCTACTTTATCACGTGCACGTTGTTTATTTCTAAAGCACTCTAGTGCCAAGTATAAATGGTTTTTGGATTATTTGTGATGCTGTTCCCTTCTAAGGATGGAGAAGTTTGGGTTGACTACTTTTATGTGTGAAATGATGTAAAACTGGATGAGCTTTTATCGAAAGTTTAAAACAATATGCTGCATTGTTAGTGGAAGTGCTGCTGTTTGCCTCTCAGTGGAAAGAGGCAAACTCATCTAGATTAAAATATTAGATGAACTTCTTAGAGTGGGCTAGTGTTCTATAATTTTATGCTAAAACTTAGTTGCTTAAAAGATTTTCAGAAATCAAAAGGCTCGTATATTTTCAAAATCGATTATGTGAAAATTATTCTTTTCGTTAAGTGTAGGGTTTTTATGTTAAAATGCATTTTCATATCTTTAAAAAGAGAAGTAGAATTACATGATGATTATGAAAGCATAACTTCTATGATAGTTGTAATACAGAAAGATTGGATTTGGATCTCAGCCGCATAATAACATAATGATCTTTAGCAGGTGATTTTACCATTGTGTACCGAGGTTTCCTCATCTGTAAAGTGAGGGTAATAAAAGTACCTACCTCCTAGGGTAATCATGAGGGTTAAAAGTGCTTCCCTAGCGCATACTAAGGGTGCAACAGATATTAGACATTATTCTTCCTGGTTCATTACATATATACAGGCAGTTGTATGCCCATTTGTTTTCTTGCTATTAACAAAGGCACTTTGAGGCTACAAAAAATTCCTGGATAAATACATGATCAAATAATAAGCTGCCTTAAGAGACATTTAGTGCAAATGATGCCCTTTTTTTCCCCCTCCTTCCTCTGCTCACCTTGGACCTTTAATTAGGTGTCCATATCAAGTTAGAGTGAATGTGTCCATTTTTCTGACTCTCAGAAACAATAAGGGTCATTGAGAGACCCTTGTTGCTGTCTCATTATTTTGGAACCAAAATGTTAGTTATTGATTTGTAGGTGTGCTATTGAAAATACAATGAGTACTAGAGACCTACTGGGTGAGCTTAGATGAGGAAACCAGGAATTTATAAGGTCTGTTATGAATTGCAACCCTTTCCTTCCAGTGGAACCATGGGAAAATTATTGAACCTTGAATATTTTGATGACTTCATTCATTAAACTGTTAGGTTTTAGTGATAAAATTTGTGGAACTCCAATTTTGTAACATTTTGTTCTTTTTAATTTATTGTAACTCGGGTCTAATTAGTGTCATGAACATGTGGTTTAGCAAATGTTTTTTATGGTGACAGTGGTGGATTTCTTCTCCTGGATATTCTTTGGTTCTGCCTTATCAGATTCTTCTATTGCTGTTAGAGCAACTCTTCCGTTTATAGTCCTCGTAACTTTCATTCTCATGCATATTTGTGGTCTTTCCTACTATAACATCTTTACCTCCTGTAACAACATGTAATTTCTTACCATCTGTCACACATGAGCTTACTTTTTTAATGCCTCTTTTAAAACTTTAATTTCAATTATTTTTTAAATGTATATCACATGATATTTTTTAATTGTCCTTATTTTATAGTTCCATTGAATTGAGTCCATTTTACAGATTAGAGATTAAAATCAGAAGCAAGTTATAGCTCAAAGAAATCTTTATTATGCCAGTAATAGATTCTTGCTATTTTGTTTTAGATCTCAGGCAGGCATCCTGTTGGTACTTCAGCTGTTAGATGCAGGGTCATTCATTTAGTCTGAAGCAGTGCTACCAGGGCTAAGAGAGTTACGTGGAGCCATCAAGTTTCCAGGGTCGTATTTTTCTTTCAGTGATAAAGAATTTTAATGTTTGAGAATGACCAACTCCTGAGCTTCTTTTCATTAACTACTATAATAAAGATTATGAAATTATTACAGTTTATTAGACATTTTTGCACTCATGACATGCTTTTAGGAATTTTGTAGAACTTAGACATGTAGATCTTTTCTTTAGATCTATTACATAATCTAATTATGTGAATAAAATATTTAGTTAAGTATGATTTCAAGAGACATTAGAAATACCATGTTATAATGAAACATAACCAACCATTGCTCAATTTTTCATTAAGTTGGAGTTTTCTTTATCTATTTAAAAATAATTATGGCATTATCAGTTGCCTCTTATTCATATTTAAAACTCATGGATACATGGACTGAGTAGATACAGACCATGCAAACTACTGTAGATGTTAGAGAATGAAAGAGGGAAAATATGAATCATTTGCTTTGTCCAACTTAATATTGGGTTAGCCCACTACCCTACTTTTAAGGAGGGAAAAGGTCTTTTGAATCTGGTTAGAACAGAAATCTTGAAGGGTAATTGGCTAGACTGTTGATTCATGTTAATGTTGAATAAATTTACATCTGAGTAGTTTGAGAATTGGTTGCCTGCCTCTATTCTCCATGTGGGCGAAAAATTCTAAGGAACGACTTGAGAGAGACCATAATGATGCTATTGCCAAATACAGTATAGTGAGAATATATTTCCACAGGTTCTCTAATAGTCTGTAAGCATTTTAGTTATATGCTAT